TTGATTTATAGTTTGTAGACAATTTCGAATTTAACGTCCACGTTCGTTCGACAAGTTGGAACTTAATAATTTGATCGAGTCCGTGGATCCGATTCGTGATACCAGGCCAGAAATGAGATCGTCCGGTGAGGTGGTTTTCGTGAAAAATACCGCTCGTTTTACAGGCGGTAGAAGCAAGGCTGCGCTATCAGGGGTTGGGGGTTGTATTTAATTAAACCTCCACGGGCTGCCTGATCGAGCATCAATACCCAGTGGTTCTCCGACTTATCGAATCACAGTCGGACGTTGATTGTATAATCAGTTTGTTAAATTATTTATTTCGCTTTTGCTCGTTCTCCGCCGTCGTTTATCCGACTCGCTTTTCCGTTCGACAAATTGAAACGATCGCGTTTTAGACGATGAAAGTTTAGATTTTAGTTCGGTCGTTGGACGAACGGTTTGTTCCTTTAAACGAGATCCCGAACGACAGAACGTAGTTCACGATGAATATTTCTGACAAGAATGAACGCTTCGAGGCAACCGAAGCTTCGAGATTAAAGGCTGGCCGGAAACACCGACCGCCGAAACGCGGAAAGACTGCGGATGCAGCTTGCAGCGAGAAAATTAATTGCTCTGCACTTCTGCGGTCACGAATTACGACCGATGCGTATCCATTTCTCGTGCACGTTGATGCACGAAGATTTGTTCGTCCGATTCAAAGCATCGGCCAGAGCCACGAGTATATCTCCAACGAGGTACTTCGACCACTCCGAACCATCAAATTCTCTGCGATATCTTTAACCTCGTTTCCTAACTTCAAACGCGATGTTTATCGCGTAATAAACTTGCAACTCTAATACATGCTCCGTTAGACTTTTAATCGTTGATAAGAATATTAGTTTATTCGAGTGGATTCGATTATGCGAGCTGAGCTGTTAACCTTGCTGGATCAGTAGAAATATCGACGGATAGTCAGACGCGTTATTTGTACGATATTGTATTCTTTCTTCAGAGACGGACTTGCATGATAATTGTTAGCAAACTAGAGAGGTTTGCATAAAAGTGTTATTTTTCATACATGACATATTTTACATCTTTCGAACGTGTCATATCAGTCCGATGTAATTAACCCCTTGCACTACAGAGAAATTTGACTCGTGACGCATTCGTACCTCGGCTGTGATTAATTTTACTGAAATTTTTAATACGCTTCAATTTGAGTCCAACTATAATTTGCATAGTCAACTATTGAATAATAATATATTGACATAACATTTCAATTTTTTTCTCTATTTTAATATAGTAGCTATAATTAGTCAGTCCTGACGCACCTGACAAATAAGTCATAGTGCAAAGGGTTAAGTATGTACGAACATCTCGAATTTCAACGCGTAATCAACGAAGAAAGAAGAGAGACCCAGTTGCAAAACTCTAGAATAATATTTAGTAATTGAAAAATTTAATGAAACTTATTAACAAAGAATTAATTAAACACAACACAAATAGAATCTCTCGAATTATAAATCTTGCACGTCTTTATCTCACGATTTCTCTTAAAGCAACGCACTCTTTGCTTTACCGAAAACATTCGATCACAGCAAAAAGACAATCTTCTAGCAATCTTCATTACATGCAAACTTCAATCATATCATGCGCAAGCTTCATTCATATTATGCACCCATGTCGATCATACAATTACATAGTACATACATACAAACATACGATACAATTACATAGTACATACACACACACATACCACAAAACTGTATCGTAAGAATGTTTGTAAGGGGAGGGGATGTTCGCGAAGGATTCCGATCAGATCAGACTGGATTACCATCCTGAATGAGAACCAAGCACGAGAATCCCTGTCGGTGGGATGTACGGAGGTTTGCGAAGCCTTATTAGCGATTTAGGGTGATTCGCCCCTTGTAGTATTGACTCGAGACCGGCTGCCTCTGGGAATTAAAAATCGCTAAATTCGGTTACACAGCCAAGCGCGTTTCGTTTCATCTCGCAGCCCCTGTCTCAGGACCGGGCCAATCGCTCGGTGAATTTGATCGAATTAAAAGCTCCACCCCGGAAAGAATGGGTGTCGAACGATCAAATGCCTAAACGCGACGCTTCCGTTGGAATTCGGTTCGTCACCGACGCGTTAACGACATATCGTGTTCCTACACCTTCGAAAGTTTATCGAACCAACATTAAATAGATAGATTTGTCTCGTTTCAATAATTTGCGATTATCTGGCAACTTAGGAGAAATTTGACGGGCGATTTCTCGGAAATTGGCGGATTGAACGGAGAAATACGAGTGGAAGGAGGAAGGAAGAAGGGAGGGGAAGAGCGTCACGGTGCATAAGCGCGACACTTTGTTCTGCAAGCAGGCTAATGACAATTTAAATGCATGGAATTAACGTAGCCGAAGCGGGAAACGCGCAGGCAGGCACGCGACAGCCAAATAATATCGTTTCATCCCCTATGGGACGCGCGTCGATTCGGCTAACTAGAAACTTGCCCCCGGACTCGACCGCGACGGTTCACCGACAAAAAATAATCTCGAACGGCCGCCAGCCGAATCGACACCCGCGCAGATTTTTTCCGCCCCTCTCTCTCTCGATCGATAATCGACGAGCGACGATAAAAACACGCGGCCGAAAAAATAGCGCGAGTCTCGTTCCGACGAACTTTCAAATTTAAACAGCGATCGGACTATGCGCTCGTTTGTTTTTCGCCCGGACGAAACAAATTGTACATTATCGAGTTTCGGAAGCAGCGTTGTTCGATAACGCTGGAATGGGCGAGAAGACAAGGTCGATATCTTGCACCTTCGAAACACCTTTCCCCTCCGTCTCGTCGTTACCCGATCCCGGTGTCGGTGATCAGCGTGTTCGGAAGGCGGCGAAAAAGAAAGCTGCGAAACCCATGAAGAATGGCGACACTCAATCACGCGAAAGACAACCGCCTGGGAGGCGAGCGTCCGAAACAATACGAAACAAACGGCCCCCGGGGGCGGATATTAGTTTTTCGATTCCTCGAGCCCCGATCGACGACTCAGCCGCCGCCAAACCCCTCGACCAACCCCCGATGTTATTTTTCTCAGTCATATTCCCAGCTGCGCATTTATCACTTTTAAACGAGCCTCGAGTAGTCCTTCTCTCTCTTCTCCTCGTCTTCGAACCGTGGAGTTCTTTTCTCTCTCGCGACCCCTTCGATTTTACGATCTTCGTTCCTTCTTTTTTTTTCGTAATGGAACGTTGGATGCAAAAAAAAGGAACGAGCAGAAGGGGTCATAGTGGAGACAGGCTCTCTCGAGCAGTACCTCCGAGGGCCATAATTCTGCCACACAGAATTTCACCCCCATAGTGATGGCGGTGGTCGGTGTCTCCGCGTTCGTTCGTTGTTTCGTTTCTGCGTTCTTTACTGCCCATCGGGGTAGGGTTACGTTGTTCTTTGTGCACGTTTCCTGTTTTATACCGTGCTCGCCCGATGGGAGAACGATAAGGAGGAAGCTCGATGAATTATCGAGTCTCGAATAAAGTACGAATAATTGAAAATCGAACACTTCGCTGATCTTCGTCCACTAAAAATACTTGTTTATCTTTTAAACCGTATCGCGAGTGCAATTCGAACCTTCTCGCGTAAGATCCACAAATCTTCGACTGGTGAACCTCGACGGATCTTGAGACGTATATATAGAAAACGGTAGCGTGTAAGCTGGTGGCGAGAGACAGGGCCGTATACTTGAGGGGCGCATAACTCATTCCCTGAGGCCAACGTCAGTGATGTACAGCGGTTGTGGGACAGCCGGGAGGACGAGGTTTATCGGAGGCGGTGGCAAGGGTGATTCAGCCCTTAATAAGCCAAAGTGCACGCGAGCTGCGAGCAAAAGAGAGGAAAGGGAACGCGGATAGATTTACGATGCCGTTGTTCGAGACCTCTTTTTGATCCGATCAACAGCTTTTTTACCGAAGACTATACTTCGACTCATGTAATGCACTTTTCTCGAGAAACATCATAGAGCCTTGAAACTTCACACATTTCAAGATCTAAATAAAAACAACTTTAAGTTCAATATTGAGCAAAATCGGATAAAAATTAAATTAATTTTAGCCCAGAACAGAAAAAATAGAAATCTGGTCTTTTCTCCTTGGTAAACGTTTCATTAGACTGTTTGAGGTTCTGAGAAGGTCGAAAGGACCAGTTTAATTAGTTAGACAAATATCTTTAGTATCCCGGCTTTCTCTTCAGAGGAATTAAGGAAGTGATTGTTTAAAAAATGAATATTTTCTTGATAAACCGGGAGTAAGTTTGCAAAGACATTTATTCGATCAGCGTCAGTTACGTTTCGCCTCGCTCAGACTCCACTGTGAGCAGTACTCCTAGTTACCTGTTACTTTTTGGAATTTGGGAAAAATCTGAAGTATCTTAAATTGGTTAAGTCGATTGATGTCGAGATAATCCGAAGTAATAGACGAATTGTTAGATTAGTTAACGAGATGAGTTAGAGGAAGTCGTAACTGGAGGATAATGGAACCGGTGGCTATTTCTCTGATGAATCGTTACGTTTGATCCGAGATTAAAAGGACTAGAACGCGACAGTAAAATTTAATGCCAACACGGAAGATCCTGAACGTAGTCTTGAAATCAAGGGATCACCGTGTTTGTCGGGGACGGTCACTTATTAATGCGGGCGCAGGGCCAAAGTAATTCCCTAGGCAGGGTTCGGCTTAGAAAGGACTTAGCCAATATTTGAATCCTCCCGCTAATACCTATCACGTACTTAGAAACTGCCCTCGTTGCAGAACAAACTTTCACGGTGACTGATCCTCGATTTGCTTACGTTTTAGAATCGATCGTATCGTTTTTAATATTCCGAGATTACACTTTCGCATATCTCTGCTACATCTTCTTCTATAAGGCTGATAGTTCATAGACTTGTACTACTTCGCGAAATTGATACTTGTACCTCATTCTAATTATATAGCACAAAACTTATAAATATTTCTCTTGTTTGCGAAACAGGAACATGGAGAAGCAGAGGTGGTATTGGGCGAAAATAAGATGGAGGAAATTCGTGTCGCCTTAACACGAACGACGAAAGTTTCAGTTGCTGTCCAGGCTTCGAACAGGTAAGACGTCTAGTTTCTTTCTATTCCTATATTTTGTAGCTCGATTACTGCTTCCCCTTCTTTTTTATGCTTTCTTTAACTTACCTTTTACGATCGTAATGGTATCCGATATTTATCAATGTATTGCAAACCTTGTTATCGTTGTTGAAAAGATTTCACTCGTAAATTATGATACGGTATTTATTATAATTTTTCGTTGCATGCATTTTTTAATTACTTTTGCCTCACGGAAGTATGTTAATATTCTCCTCATTAATTCATTTGCAATTTTTTATGTTACAGAACTCGTGGGAACGACCTCCGGAAATACAAATACGCAGGAAGGAACTACCGGGATGCAACATCGATTCGTGCATTACAACATCGGTTGAACATTATAGAAATAATTAAAAATAATTAGTTGTATATAATATTTATATATTTGTATGTATTTTGAAATGTATATATTTTGAAAAATAACAAATAAAATAGTTCATACCAAATTGCTATTTGTACTGTTTATTACAAAACCTAATGCCTCCCTTCCCTTTTCCATTCCCAAAGAACATTAAACAATTAAAGAAAAAATTAAATAAAAAAAAAAATATGGACGCAAAAAAAATATCATTGCGGCAATAAATTCTGACAATTTAAAAAAAAATAATATGAAATTGATCAGATTTTATAAGTACACCCATTTCAAAATTTGGTATCAGGAGAACATGATGTGGGAGGAGGTGGCACGAAAATCTTTCCAAGAGAAAAGTTGGATTCTGAAATTTGGTATCAGGAGAACATAATATGCGAGGAGGTGGCACAAGTTTTACTTTTCGGGATTTCTGTGACGTCACTTCTCGGAATTATCGAACAAAATTTGTGAAATTTGGTTTTCGATTTAAAAATTTTGTATCAGGAGAACATAATATGCGAGGAGGTGGCACGAATGTCAATTCTTGGAATTCTAGTGACGTCATTTCCAAGAATTATTGAGAAAAATTTGAAGAATCTGGCCCTCGATTTCGAGTTTTGGTATCAGGAGAACATAATACGCGAGGAGGTGGCACGAATGTCAATTCCTGGAATTTTGATGACGTCATTTCTCGGAATTATTCCGAAAAATTTGAGAAATCGAGCCACCGATTTCGAGTTTTGGTACCAGGAGAACATAATACGCGAGGAGGTGGCACAAACCTCAATTCTTGGAATTTTGGTGACGTCATTTCCAAGAATTATTCCGAAAAATTTGACAAATCGAGCCACCGAATTTCGAGCTTTGGTATCAGGAGAATATAACATGCGAGGAGGTGGCACAAAATTCTCTTCTTGGAATTCTGATGACGTCATTTCTAGGAATTCTCGAGACTGATTTGCCAAATTTTTCGCGATCTTCCAAATTTTGTATCAGGAGAACATAATATGCGAGGAGGTGGCACAAAAATTTTTCGCGGCAACGATCCAGATTTTGAAATTTGGTATCAGGAGAACATGACATACGAGGAGGTGGCACAAAGATTTCAAAGGATCTCAGAATGACTTGCAATTTTTTGACATTCGATGTAATTTTGTGATATCTTGGATTTTTCGTTTTTTACAGTGTTTTCTTTTTTTATTCTTTTTTTTTCTCGAAACATACGTGCAATGTTTCTGTACGCTATTTATCGCTTTTTTTTAATGGAATTTTTGGAATTGTGGTATGTGGGAGGCTTTTAAATAAATAGAGGTGTCATATATCTTTTTTGTAACGTTTATTGAATTCTTTCGATAAGTACAAATTACAATAATCTTACAAATACAATTTATAAGTTATAAATAATATATATTTGTAATAAATAACTTCTCAGGATTTCTCTTCTGTTAGCTGAAGACTCCTCTTCTTTTTATGGCTGTTGGATGCTGTGAAAATCTGTCCTGCACGTCGCAGAGACCTAAACACACAGAAATTTCGATTATTATACTAGAAAAATGTTAATGTTAATAAGAATTTTATCCACTATGAAACGTACCTATGTCTACTGTCCTTCGTCGGTTTATCCTCGAAGCGTCAACTGATTAAGAAGTTAAAAACAGGAAAGACGTGGGTGGCCACGCAAGGACGAGGGATGTTCTTGTTAAAAGCGATTCGTCGAAGATCTCCCTTGGCCAACATAATCACCGATAATAGTCGGTCCGCTTCTAAAAACGGGAAAACTTTCCTTCCATCCCCTGGTCGGTTCACCTTCCAAGACGTTGGAGGGGCTTCCTCGGCTGAGAAGTTGGTTTACCACCCCCGGGGGTGGTTAGCGGGTCTAGTTAAGGGGCGTCTTAATTACCCACCGTAATGAACACCTTGTCGTAAAAACTTGCGCCGGTTTAATTATTTCAGAGCAGCCTCCCTTGCCGATCTCCTTGCTCGGTTACCCTCGTTTTTAGGGGGTTGTTGTTCCACACCACCCTCCGCAGCTAAACGGAACTGACAACAACAGCCGAAGATTTCTTTCTCGATTAGCACGCACTTTGCTCCTCTCCCGAGCGTGTCCTTTTAATCTGCGCACTCCTGAAAATTAAGGAAAACGAATTATAAATATTTGACCATGTAGATACATAATTTTCACCCCCCGTTAAATTGCCACGTATAATTTAGCCCTGGAACAATGCACAATCGTTGCGCCTTCGCTTTCAATTATTCCCACAGCGGATTAATTAGAAGATATTGTGGGAGCGAGCGAGGGGTGTATTTTCTGTCGCGACGGAAAAAATCGATGTCCACGATCGACCCCGTAACATTTCCAAGCCGAACACGGTGCTAAGGTCATCGAGGTGCAGGCGAGGAAAACGCAATAAAGGCGCGTGCCCATCTACGACGGCGTCGAATCCAATTACACCCCCGTCCCGCGACACTGTCGGGGATGGCAATACTTTTTAAGGGGTGCGTTTGCAACGAGAGAACACGGAAAAGGCCCGTACAACCGGGTATTGCGGCACGGTTTGTCGTCTCTCGCTTCTATAAATTCGCGGGAATTAAACGAAAGAATGCGGTCTGCCTCGACGTACGACCGGGCCACCCCTGCCCGACCCCTTAGCCCTTCGTCTCGCTCGCTTAAAAGCACCGCGCAGTCGGATTTTTTCTCTCGCTCGCGGCTCATTTTTGGGGGCTCGTTGGATTTTTAATTAAGGCCGCGGCGGTGACTCCCACGCCAAGAATGCACGGTATCGTGCGAGGTATTTTGCCGAAAAACCACCCCCGTGACCCTCGTCCATGCAACTGCTACGTCGGACTGGCCGAGGAGGAGGCCAGCGTTATTTAATAACCACCAGTTCGATCGTACCCGATCCGCGTTCTACCTTCTTTCCTATTCTCGACTATTGACTTTTCGAGAAAGCAACCTCATTTTTGCGGCGATTCCTATCGTCCCGAGTTTCTCCTTTTTATTACATTATTGTTCACCGTTTAAACAGAACTATCGATCGTTGCGAATATCCTCGAACTATCGATAATACCGACAAATATTTAAACCTGGAAGCTCTTTACAAAACAGATATTTTATCTTGAAATCTCGAAGAAACTGCAAACAATTTTTTCACCGAGCACGATACAGTGAGAAAGAAAGTCGAAGAACAGAAGCATATTCGCAACCCCTAGGATTTAATATTTAAAAGCGCATCTGAAATACGTCGATTGTGGAACATAAACACGAGGGTGTTCGAGGACTGGTTGCCTCTTAGGGCCAGCGGATGATTTATTCCTCGCGTTACATCCTGACCTGAGAATTTATCTTGGCTGTGACTTAAAGGGTGGCTCGTGCCGAATTACAATTCTCCAGGTTGTAGCTACCAATAAAATTTCAGCTACGCGAGTCTCGATATTCTTCTATCTTCGGAGACCCGATCGATTCGAAAATACCGAGCAAGAAGATAATAAAGACAGTCGAACCGCCGAAGTTTGCAGAGACTTTCTAATTAGAAAAGCTAACCCGCAGAGGGGAGGGTTGTCAGAAATTCCGGGAAAGGAGCAGACAGGCTTCTTCGAGAATTATGCGCGAACGTTCGACCCCACGGCACTGTAAATCCACCGGTAATGTACACACATGAGACCAAGGGTGGCGGTGCAACCCTCGCGGTCCTCCCCAAGCCGCGCCGCGATCGACCCTCTTAAACGCGAATTTGATATACGTAAATCTGCCGGCCGGTTTCCATAAATCAAAACCAACCCCTCGCTAGATGCTATGGACTGCAGAGCTCGACTGAGAATAAAGAGAACGGGGCCGTGGGAGGGGGTGTGCAGTCACCCCCCTGGAACGGTAGACTCGAGAACATCCGCTCGACATCTTCTTTCTTAAAAATTGATTCCTCGCTGCCGCTTTGATCCTCCTTGGGACACGATGGAGCTACTCCTAGGGGTCGCAGAATGTTTCTCACCCCTGCCGCCGGAAACTTGTTGGTATTGTTTGCCGGAATTGACGAGTTTATTGTGCTTCGATTGTTCCAGTCATTCCGATACACTGCCGATCTCTTTAGAAACGAAGAGAACAGTAATTTGTCTCGGGGCGAAATTAACCCCTTGCGCTCTTAGGCGCCATTCGATTTAATACGATAATTTAAAAGAAGCATTATTTCATTAATTCTATAATAGTGCTTATGTGATGTATAAACATAGTGAAATAGACAATAGTGGAAATTATTAGTAGAGAAATAATAACTTCGAAAGAAGTCATTTTAATTAATATTTTAAAGTTGCTGTTTGCAAACAGTAAAATTATCTTCGAGTGCAAAGGGTTAAAACGGAACGAGTGGTTCTATTATTAGGTATTATGTCCGTAGAAGAAATTAACGGTTATACAATTATAAAATTAGGCTCGAAATTTGTCGAACGATAGAGTTAAAAAATGTTCGAAATATCCAAGGTCCGATATTAATCAATGTTTGGGGAAAATACGGCCATTAGATTTTCGCTTTTTGCCCGGACAGGCTAGCCAAGATAATTCTCGCTCTCCTCAGATGTTCACTTCAATCTTTCGAGGAATATTTGAAGAGGCCAGATCAAAGCGTGTCTGGTCAATTTCATCAACATTTGAATACGATCTCTTTCTCTCTCTCTGTCGCGTTTCTTCCGCTATCTCTTGCTCGCCGGAGCCAACGAAACAACCCCAGCCTTTTGGATCTCTTTGCACGAACTGCGAAAAGAGCCAAGAGAAACGAGTCGAGAGAAGCTGGCAGACAGAGCGAAAGAGAGAAGCTGGCGAGACGGAGAAAGCGAAAGAGGACGGGGGATGAGAACTTTTGAAAAGTGTTGGGTAAAATGAGAAGCGTTAGACGAATGCGCCGATAACGTGGAACTCGAACATTCCGAAAGACATCCCCCGACTGACGCGATGCTCTTTTCGACTGCTTCCACCAACTTTCAAACGGAGGATTCTTCCAGTGAAATTCTATT